GGTACCATAGTAGGTTTTTCGTTGCGAGAGGCGCTAAGAATCATATATTGCCTTATCCTGAAACTATCTCTCCATGCAAATCCTACCTTGTTGTTCCGTAGTGCATCAGGCTTCCGTAATCATATGTTAGATCGTAATTGTTATTGGTTTCAGGCGTCTCCAGTAAGAATTGGTCAAGCCAGTCAGGCTGAAGCAATGACAGTGTTCCGACTCTTCCGTGGATTCACAGAATCTTACCTTAATATTTTCTTTGTCTACTGTGATATACTTGTCACGATCATGTCTCGAATGCGTATGGAAGAAACCAAGTGCATGACCAATCTCATGGGCAGCTGTTCCGACCTGGAAGAGAATACTGAAACTAAATAAAAACACGGCTAGGTGTTATTTTCTGACGGAAGGTAGTTAAGCCCATACCGATTCGCAGCCTGAGCCGAGTGACAGGTTCTGTTTACCGCCTAAGTCTACCAACGTATGACCAGCATCCGTCCTCTTCGATCACACGAATGCTGTCATCTGCAAGAACGCTATGGTTCAACGAGCGTTCGCTGTGCTCTCAATCATTTGAACCTTTACAAGATTCGCTTAGCGTGAAGTTAATGCATGTGTTGTCCATCCACTGTTCTGCCGCTTTTGTGAATACACGTTTCACCTCTTCACCTAAACAAGGAAAGGGAGAAACGTTTTTATTCCGTGCACATGAGCAGCAGAACGGGCGGGCAACTGACTTATGCCGTTATCGAAGAAGTAGTTAACCCCTTTGACCATCTTTTGCCAGGGTAAGTTTTATCATGGTACGCTTGCCGCTTGGAACGTGCGCCACTGACGTCCGCAGCAATTTGATCCTGTTGCTCTCTAAATAACATAAATTTTTGCTATCGGATCCATAAAAAAATATTTAGAGAAACGAACTTCGAGAGAACCATATCTCCCTGGAACAACGCATTTGCTATTTGGCTTCTAATGTTGATCTCTTCAATGAGTCTCCCGCTTGTGAAACTGCATCAGTTGTTTTTCCTTTTGAACAGCTGAAATGTTTCGTATATGCTTGACCGGGAGCTAACGTGTTGATAGGACAAACCTTCAGTCTCTCTGTGAGCTCTTTTCTCTGAACTGCGGTTAAAGTAAGCTTTTGCAGGATCTTTTCTTGGTGTCCACTCAACTTCTTCCGGAATCGAGCATATTGTTGTTGAAAACCTTTTGGTGTTCACAGTGTCACAGATCATTGAATTCCGTATAACCTCTACATGAAGCACTATACCTGTTTGATGCGGTCCATAGTCTTCTTCACTTTTTCTTTGATAAGGATTTTAAGGCTCCCGGGCTTGAGGTCGATGAAGCCAGCGCTGACGCACATAGCCACAAGTAGAGTGAGTATGAGAATCCTCATCCTGCAATGTAGAGCTGGAAGACGTTTAATGTTGAAAGAACTTATAATAGAGAAAAGCTAGAAGACTGCTTAGAAAGGTTGCTAGAAGACGTGCCCGCTCACTCCTCCACGAGTTTATATGCGCACTCCTGCATGGGAAGTTGACATATCGACAAGGTGTTCAAATGTCAAGATATGTTAGAAGGAGGGAAAAAATATAGTTTCAGCTGCTCCTCTTGCTCACATCACATCCCACTCACAGAATTAACTAGACTGCGCCTGAGATATCGATTGAACAAATCTAACACTCAAAAGAATATTCCTTACCCAGCAACAACCATGGAAAAATGAAGTGAAGGGGCTGGGTCGTGTCAACTTGCTTGCAAAATTTATTTTTACTTCGATTTCCTCTTATCTTGCCATCACCTTCATTTCTCACGAAGCCTAGAATTTGTATAATAGGATAGTAGGGTAAAGCAAGGCCTTTTGGGCCGCAGTGGTGCGGTGTCCATCTTCACGAAAGGTCATTTCCTAACATATACCTCTTGCACTGTAATGGAGGGTTCATTGGCACGTAGTCCGCGTACATCGGGCACGATTCGGGGATCAAACCCCAGATGAGCATTTGCACCCGGTCATCCAAGCCCTCTCCCTCGATTGACACTTGTCAGGGAGAATACCAAAGCCTGACTTGCGCATTGGATGGCTTCCCAAACCACTGTGTACGCCATCTCCACGCTCAAAACATCATCACGATTTTGAATTCGAACAGTCTGTGCGCATTAGAAATTGTTTATTAAAGCGGCAGCTTCGTCCATTATCCCTTCAGCTCTACAGCACGAGAATAGCGCCCACGTAATAAAGTTGTGAGCATTTCCATAGCCGATGTGCACAGAAACATATGTTTACCATTGTTTTTTTCTCAGCGCGTTATAGCTATTGACCCTAGTCAGAATGAAGCTCGCTGTGTGTTGATTCAACATCCGACCATCCAACGCGTGCAGTATCGAGGTCGAAGCATTATGGAATACTTATGAGCGAATTGGCTCGCTCACATAATCATTGCTCCGCTCCTTCTGTTATAGAAGAGCTGTAAAAATTTGTGGCAAAATAACTACCTGAGACTGCGCCACAGGACCCTAATGGCAAGGGCTGGACCATGTCTAACATTCCATCCCTAGTAGAAGACATAGTAACGAAGAGCGCCGTTACTTACAAAAATGAGTTTTGTGTTCTTCGAAGTACAAGCTACACACGGTTCTTCATGCAACGAGTCACCGCAGATATCCATCTTGCTAACTGCAAAGATCCACTTTAATTAATGAAGTCGTAGAAATCTGTGTCCTTCATTCTGTGAGTGGGATGTGATGTGAGCAAGAGGAGCAGCTGAAACTATATTTTTCCCCCTCCTTCTAACATATCTTGACATTTGAACACCTTGTCGATATGTCAACTTCCGTATGCAGGAGTGCGCATATAAACTCGTGGAGGAGTGAGCGGGCACGTCTTCTAGCAACCTTCTAAGCAGTCTTCTAGCTTTTCTCTATTATAAGTTCTTTCACAATTAAACGTCTTCCAGCTCTACATTGCAGGATGAGGATTCTCATACTCACTCTACTTGTGGCTATGTGCGTCAGCGCTGGCTTCATCGACCTCAAGCCCGGGAGCCTTGAAATCCTTATCAAAGAAAAGTGAAAAAGACTATGGACCGCATCAAACAGGTAGTGCTTCATACAGAGGTTGTATGGAATTCAATGATCAACTGACTATCAACACCAAAAGGTTTTCAACAACATGCTCGATTCCGGAAGAAGTTGAGTGGACACAAAGAAAAGATCCTGCAAAAGCTTACTTTAACCGCAGTTCAGAGAAAAGAGCTCACAGAGAGACTGAAGGTTTGTCCTATCAACACGTTAGCTCCCGGTCAAGCATATACGAAACATTTCAGCTGTTCAAAAAAACAACTGATGCAGTTTTACAAGTGGGAGACTCAATTGAAGAGATCAACAT